GTTTTATGAACTAACATTTACATTAATTCGTACAAGAAACAATGTGATGTAAGTCCACTAAGTGAAGAAAGCAGGGGCGGACTTACCATGTAAAAGGTGGGGGGAAGGGCCCCCATTAAAAAATAAAAATAATTAATTTTCTTAAGGTTAAAAATTGTCTTTTTTACTTTCTACCATGGTTCTCCTCCGTAATTTCTTGTTAGGGTCCCCACCAACTAAAGAAAGTATCTTGAAATCAACCAAAAAACTGAAAAGTTCCTTGAAATCGATAAAAAAAAACCCTTAAAAAATCCAAAAAAAACTTCAAAAATCTCTTGGAATGGTGGAATTAGGCTTAAAACACATCGGACGACTTGGTGGACGTTTAAGCTACCTTAAAGGTATCCCCACTAGACCAAAATCATGGATCCGCCACTGAAAGAGAATGTCTCCATAATAGCGGTTTAAATGCTGGAAATTAATTAAAAACTTAAAATAAATTACAATTACAACTATCTAAATAATAAAATACAAATATTGGTGGATGTGCGTCTCAAACGAAGACTCAAGGCCTCTAATTATAATAGAGGAGAAAAGGTAATGAAATTCTTTTGCTCAGAAAGGGTTTTCCAAAAAGTTAAGCATCCATTGACCCCAAAATTTGTTTGTCTTCTTGTTAATTGGTCTTTCTACCTTCATCTTGCCTCCATAAATTCATCTTCAGTAATACATAAACACAAGTGAGCAAAGGAATACATAAAACATAAACTTTTATCCTCAATGGCTCTAAATGAAAATAAATAAGTAAATAAATAAGAGAAACACAAACATATAACTGAGAATTACACTCTAAAAGGAAGAAAAACACACCCACACAAACAAATTGTAAATGAAGTTCAAATAAGAGTTATAAATTACATTCATATATTGAATATACGAATGATCAATGGAAAACTGATCGATCACAATTTTACATGTATTTTGTGCTGCTAAAGTTATTCATGAAGAACATGCAATAAAAAAAATGAAACAAAAATAAGAAGTATCTTAGAATATGTGTTACTTTGAAACACAAAAAAAAAATAAAAATAAAAAATAAAAAAAACTTATTTCTTCATATAGGAATTTAACCTCAGTCCTCGTGTTGCCTTATCATTAATGATAAATGTTTGCGATGAAAACTTTGAAATTGTATGAGATTATATAAAATTAATATTGTAAATCAAAAAAGTTTGTCAAATTGTCTTTTTCTGCTCAACGTCAACAATGTATGTTACAATAAATGTTAAAATAGAGAGAGAGAAAAAAAAAAGAAGATGGAAATCTTCAAATTTAAATAAACCTCTAAACTCAATATTTAAGAGAGAGATGAGATATTAAAATTATATGTTTAAAAGAAAGAAATAATGTTTTATTAAATATACTGAATACATTAATAATATAATTAATTTTAGATTCTTTTAAATCATAATCTCTATCGAAGTTGGATGGAATTTTTTTAAATTTTTAATTTTTATTACTCTATTTTAATATATATTATAATGGTACTCGCGCAATGCAGCAACATACATCTTGATCTTAATATTTTATTTAATTTTTTATCTCAATCGATGTTATAATATGGTTTTATGTGATATTGAAAAGGCGATGATGTTTTTATTTTTGAACAAAATTTAAATTTGAAGATATCATAAAAATTTGACAAAATTATATCGATATTAGTATCAAATTAACTATTTAAAATTTCTTATTTTTTGTGTAATTTTTTAATTCAATTTTTTTTAAAAATTATATTTATAATATTTATAAAAAAATTATATTATTAAACCAAATATAAATTACTTCGTTATTGTATCTAAATTAAATTATAATAAAAAATTGAATTAAAAAATTACACAAAAAATGAGAAATTTTAAATAGTTAATTTGATACAAATATCGATATATTTTTGTTATGCATAAAGTAATGTATATTGGTGCATATTACTTAAAATTCAAGATTACAAGTAATTATGCATAATTACAACTTATTAAAGCTCGATGTTTGAATTCGTATAAATAACTGCGGATAAACATAATCAAATAAAGGATGAACATCTCATTTTAAAATATAAAAAATCTAAAATATAATTAAAATAATTATCGAGTTTCAACAAAATAAATAATTATTATCTTTATAAAAAAATTATATTATTAAACCAAATATAAATTACTTAGTTATTATACATATATATTGTTCTTATTTAATTATCTTATTTTAAATATGACTTAATAAAGAATAAAAAAGAACTCCTTAATTAGCCTGCTTGATTAAAACGAAGTACTACCGACCAAATGAATTTCTTTAGCCTTATGACCATTGGGTAATAAATTGAGAGGCACTCGAAAGAGACACGTAGAAGGCTCATTTATGATATATTAGAATACTATTTGCATAATACATGATACATTTTAATTTTAATGTTTCGTTTTTCTGTTTTCGTTAATATTATAACACAGTTTTATGTGGTTTTGATAAAACGATAATGTTTTTATGTTTGAATAAAATATAAATTCGAATATCTCATAAAAATTTGAAAATATATCGATATTAGTAAATTAACTATTTAAAAGTTCACGTTTTTTGTGTAATTTCTTTGATTCAATTTTTTATTATAATTTAATTTAAATTTAATAACAAGGTAATTTTATTTTCGGTTTAATAATATAACTTTTTATACATATATTAAGTGTTATGTTAAAACTCAATGATTATCCTAATTATATTTTAAATTTTTTATATTCAAAATTAAATGTTTACCATGTATTTGATTATATTTATCTGGAGTTAGTTACACGAATTCAAAATTGAGTTTTACTAAATTATACTTGTGAATAATTACTTGTAATCTTGAATTTTAAATAATATGCATCAATAAACAGTACTTGATATATAAAAAATAGTTTTTAAAAGTTTTATCAAATGCTTTATAATATAATATAGATGAGGTTGAATAGGCTATGACACTGAGACGTAAGAAGCCAAATTATAAAACGTTAACAACTAGATGTTTCACAAACCTATCTCAACCCAACCCTATCCAACCCAACTTAACTCATCAGTTAGCCACTAATATATATAACTTGTATTAAATTATAAATATATCTGTATATATTTTCCCATATTATATATTAATAATGATTATTATATATACTAATGATGTGTAAAATTTTATATAATGAATATTGATCAGTTTATGTTTGTAATTTATTTTTAGCTAAATGTGTAGGTTACCAAAACAGATTCACCACAAAAGAATGATAAAAAAAACTTTAATTGAAGAAAATTATTGAAATCATTTTTGCAATAACAACAAATGGATATGTCGGAGAATATGAAAGATGTCGATAGATATTTGGTTGACGAATCTATCAATCCAAAGACTACATCATTTGAATATTTGATGTTATACTTTACGTCAAAGAAAATACTAATAGTTATAGAATTTCACTACAATAACAATAGTTGTATAAAATGCCGAAAATGTCCAAGTGTCCTAATATAATAGATGAAACAAAAAGGTGTCATATCAAAAATTGTTGCAATATGTTTATAGAACGTGTTTTGGTGTCTTAATTTTTTAGGACGTTTTAAAATAAAATGTTTTATTAATTATTTTATAAGACATTATTTGAAAAAGTGTCATATGAACATAAGCGTCTGATAAATAGATAAGTTTATAAGACGTGTATTTCTTAAATTGTTTTATAAAAGAACTAATATAACAATTTATTTTAATAAAACGTTTTAAAAAATTTATTGAAACGTCCAAAAACGTCCTATAAACCTCTTGTCTTAAAAAAATATTTCATTATTTAAATTTTATGTAACTACTAATCCGCTAACCCATTCCGTCTTAACCCACGTGAGTTGTCTTAAGTTATATTTTTGAATGAGTTGGGTTGGTTGATAATTTTCCAATCCGCGCTCAACCATCTAGTTGGTTCTAAAATAAATATTTCAGCAAGTTTTTTTACTTACTTTGTCCCAAAATAAATATCTATAATGAAAATGACACACAATTTTATAAATATATAATTATTACACTTTTTAATTCATTAAAGAACAATTTTAGCCTTCTATAATAGAATGAGAAATTTTCTCCATCTCATAACTATGGATAGAATGAGAAAAAAAATATTTACTTTTGAAATAAGAGTTTTAAAAAGTTTATTACCCTAATTAACGATTTTAATTATCATTAACAGGTCATTACACAAATATTCTGAATTAGGAATAATCAATTTCTTACCTAAATTTGAATATTTCCTCCATACGAAAAGTGTTCCCCTTTCTGGGTGTTTCCAGTTTTGACTCATTGAGCGAAAGTTTCTAGATGATGGATTTACAAAAAACAGCCCCTCAAGGTTTGTTCCATTTCCAAACAGTCTCCAATGGTTTTTTAACAGACGATAAAGCTTATAAATTGACTCAAATCATCCATCAACCGTTAATATTTATTATTGCTTAATTTTTAAGCTCCTCCTATTATTTTTATAAGTTGAAAATTATCATCTTTTTAACAGTAAATTAATTGATTGTTCCACGGTTAAATAAACAATCTAACGATATTAATAACATTGATTCAAGTTTTTTCTTTTTAAATAAATGACTTTTGAAATCTAAAATTACTGGAGGTTCATTTTAAAAGAAACAGTAAATCAAAGATGTAAGACTTTTAATGTTTAAAAAAAATACAATTTTTTTATTTAGTTATCAAATTTATAAACAAAAGTGAACATTATTATATTACTTTTTGACACTTCTGGGTTTTCAAGATGTTACATATCCATTGGATGGTGTCTAAAAAATGTGTACTTAATTGAGACTATTACTTGGCTAGTATGTTCCGTTACAATGCTAGAGATGTAAAAAGAACATTTCTAGAGGGTAGTTTTTGCCATTTTGCTAAACATCAGGGGTCACATGTGGATTTTATTTGTATACATATACCAGCCTATTTCTCTGTGTTCATCATCTTTCTCTTTCAATGACGAAAAAGAGTGAAATAAAGCTTCTTGGAACCGTTGCAAGTCCATTTGTGAACCGGGTTCAATTCGTCCTCAACCTCAAGTCCATCGAGTATGAGTATATCGAAGAAAATCTCGCCTATAAAAGTGAGCTCCTATTGACATCAAACCCGGTTCATAAGAAAGTTCCGGTCCTTATTCATGCAAACAAGCCACCAATTTGTGAGTCGCTTATCATAATCGAATACCTTGATGAAATCAAACCCGACGTCCACCGCATCCTCCCTTCCGACCCTCTGGAGCGAGCTGATAACCGGTTTTGGGCCAACTATATCGATAACAAGGTACATAAAAAAATCATACCCTTGTATTTAAATGTCTTCAAAATACATTAAAAACTTAACGCGGGGAATGCAAAGCCTCGTAAGTTAGTAGATCTAAAATAAGGGCAAATTGCATGAAAAGGTAATGTATTTTAACTTGATTTTTATTTTGGGTAACGTACTTTTAAAACTTCTATTTTGGTACCTAAGATGTAAAGTTTTAAACATTTAAGTACCCGGGTAACTGGTTGAAGTATTAACTGATTATCATGTTGATCTGTCGAGTGATGTGGTATCCAATTCGGTATTATTTGCTGACCTGGTCAGTGACATGGATATTTTTAAATCTAAAATTAGTCTTCTTTTTAGTCTAAAATTAGTCTTCAATGGGTCACCCGGGTACTTAAATGTTTAAAACTTTACATCTTAGGTACCAAAATGAAAGTTTTGAAAGTATGTTACCCAAAATAGGAATCAAGTTAAAATACGTTACTTTTTCATACAATTTGCCCCTAAAATAATGGCATAACGCTTATTGTGTTTCGTGTTTGTTGTCTATGTCATGTCAATGTCTCACCTCATATTGCATTATAAGCACTATCTTAAAAGATATTTGACCAAAAATCTCAACCTTTGACATTATTTAGAGTTGCTTTTTAGATTTTTATTTCCAAGTCTGTTTATATGGCAAGATTTTTTAATTAATGATTTAATGGTATACAATTTTTTAATATATGTTGTCTTTTATTTTTGGAAGTTTTCTTAATTCATTTCTAATTGTTAGCTGTATAACTTTTTGGTACTGTAGTTTTGAATATATATAAAAATTGTGACGTGTATAAAAAGTCAAGTTTAGCAATATAATGCAATAAAGAAATAAAAATATATAGTTAAATTACAACGTTTTATTTTCACTTAATCGAGTGATAAATGTGTTTTGCTGAGGTATGTGTTGTCATCAGTTTTTCCCGTTGTATGAAGAGATGAGGGTAACGCCAGGAAAAGAGGGAAAAGATGCAATAAAAAAAGGGATCATCGAAGGATCGGTGTTATTAGAGGAAGCATTTATAAAGTTCAGCAGGGGGAAGACTTATTTCGGTGGAGATGATGTAGGATATCTAGATGTTGTTCTTGGGTGTTTTATCGCTTGGACAAAATTTATTGAAAAAAATAATGAGTTCAAGGTGTTTGATGAAGTGAGAACTCCGAGACTTGTGGAATGGGTGAAACGTATATGGTCACATGAAGCCGTCAAGGATGTGATCCCGGGGAATGAAGTGCTCGTCAACTTCTATATGATGCTTCAAAAGTACAGACCACCAAGAGCTGTTTAAAATCAATTTTATATTTATATATCTACTACTACTATATAATCAAACGTTATTCATATTTCAATTTGATTTGAATTATGAATTTATTTTATGTAAGTCAAGATCACAACAGTGCTCTTGTACCATAATTTTTCCTTTATCAATGTAGTACTTTGTGTTTAGAATTCCTGTTTTTACTTATTCAAACTTAATAAACTTTAGGTATCGATTTAAGCATATTAAAAAGGTACTCGTGTAACATAGTTTGATACATTTTGATTTTAATGTTTCATTTTGTTCTTTATCTCAGTTAATGTTATAATATGGTTTTATTTGGTTTTGAAGAGATCATAAAAAATTGAAAAAAAATTCGATATTAGTATCAAATTAAGGAGGTGTTTTGGATTGCTTATTGAAAACAACTTATATTTCTTCTTTTTTTGTAAAAGTGTTTATCAACTTATGTGGTGTCAAATCAGAGTTCTATAAAGGTGTGTGGATTAGCTTACGACGGTAACAAAACGTAATAAACTAATAGTTAAGTATTTCTTTTCTTTTTTTATTCAAACACTAAAAACTTCTTATTACCGATACCATACTATAATATATATTAATAAGTTAGAAATGAGTTAATTTATCAAAAACTTTTTGTTATCGGTGCCAAACCGGTATAATTAATTTATTTTTACATCTAAAAACTAAAACCTCTTTATTACGGGTATCATACCCGAATAAGTTAATAAACACTTTAAATAAACAATCCCAAACACCCCCTAACTATTTAAAATTCTCGTTGACTGTATAATTTCTTTAATTCAATTTCTTATTATAATTTAATTTTGGTTTAATAGCGAAATAATTTATTTACAGTTTAATAATATAATTTTTTATAAAAATAATAATTAAGTATTCTTAATGAATTCAACGATTATCCTGATTATATTTTATATTTTTCATATATAAAACGTGATGTTTATCGTATATATTTGATTATGTTTATCTACAGTTAATTAGACGAATTAAAACATAAAACTTTAATAAGTTGTATTTATACACAATTTACTTGTAATCTTATATTTGAAGTAATATGCATCAATAAACAGTACTTAATACATAAAAAAAAGTTTTTAAGAGTTTTTCTATCAAAAACTTTATAATATAACGAGAAGAGTACTCGTGCAATGCAACGTTAGGAATCAGAATGATATTTTAAAACATGTAATTTAATCAATATTGTATGACTCAGATGTTTATATACTCCATTTGTTTTCGATATATATTTAGCAGCATGTACAATTTTATGTGGTTATTGGAAATACAATATGTGTGATAAGTTTTCGGGACTATATTATCTGAACAATACCAATAATTATTACTTAAAATTAGTAACACTTTGTGAACTTCGTATGCGTTTACCAGTCTTATGAAGAACCTTTTTAATTTTTTTTTTTGATAATTTATGTTTTTAAATCAATAAACTTTTGCTACCTACATATGTGCTGTAGAATTGGACACGTCCATGCAAACAAAAATGTAGAGTGAAATTAAGTGATTGGGGTCCTTTTTTAATTTGTTAGATGGATTGGTTTGAATATATATAAAATTAATATTAAATGAATTGATTTATTTTTACTAAAAGTTAAAATATATCTAACAAAAACATCAATCAACGTTATTATTATAGTATGATTACAAAAACTAACGATAACAATAATTACTACTAAAACAAACAATGGATATTTTTTCAAAACAAACCATACCACTCTAAAAAAAAACCTTTAAAAATGACAAATAACAATTGGATATTATTTTAAAATTTTGACATTTGAGTCGGTGACTTTCCCACCTTTTATGCAACTCCCATAACATGTCAAACACATGGTTTCGAGAAATATTTATATATTTGGTGAATTAAGTCCACTTATTATTTAAAAAGATCAATAATTTACCAAAAGGAGAAAAACATAACAATATAAAGACTATACAGATTTGGCCCACACCGTTAGGTATCACGTGTAAATTAGGTACACAGACGTGCTTGGCAACGGCGGAGAATTTGGACCACGTCTTTCTGACGTGCTCCACGGCAAAGACTATTAACGCGCATTTAGCCTTGTGGGTGAATTGGTGGCCGGCAAATGCTTCCTCGACCTGTAACATGTGGTCGGCAATCTCAAGGAGGGGGGACACGAACAGAAGAGAGGTCAGTAGGGTGATTATGGCAGTTTTCTTTCGGACGATTTGCCATCAGAGGAACAACAAGACGTTCAACGGAAAGAGGAAATCGGATAAGGAGGTTTGTAATGAGATTCAATTCACTGCGTATGATTGGATTAGATGTAAAGCGAAAGGTAACAAATCTCTTAGCTGGGAGAGATGGCTATGTAATCCGGTTGAGGCTGTGTACTCTGTTATTAACTAGCTCCTCGCTAGTCTTTTTCTCCATTATTAATACATTACTCTTTTGCGGTTCAAAAAAAAAAAGAACCGAGTCTTTATAAGAAGCTTAATCCTAAAAAAACAATGTAATTCCTACACTATGATTGCTAGTTAGATTTGAACCCTCTCATGTTTATATAAGTATACAACACTAAAATAAAATAAAAAAAATTGTTACACCTCTAAGATACAAGTTTCTCGTTCTAGAAAATTCGATTACTAAAATGCGATTTCCTTCAATCGAGAGAGATGTTAGGAGTAATCATTCTAGTAACTTATACATATATATATATATACATATATATATATATATACATATATATATATGTGTGTGTGTGTGTGTGTGTGAGGTTTAAACGAGAACCCGTGTGATTTACAAAAATGCTAGAATAGTTGTAGGCCTCTAACCTTTTTACTTAATTCTTTAAATAAATAAAAACATATCAATGAGTGTAGTAATGTAATAATGTATTTTTTATAATTATATGTTATTTTTTATAATTATATGTTATTTTAATTAGCTGTAATTATCACATGATTTTAGATTGAAACTGATCACGTCGAACTCACGTCCCCATGCCCATCCATATCGTTTTCTTTATCTATGTCGTTCTTGTGATATCAATCTACACTGTGATAATCATGTGACAAGCAAGCAACTAGGTTGGGTAATATGGATCTCATCCAGATATTCTGCAAAAATAAATGAATAAGTGAGTTGTGATAATCATGTAATAATCAAGCAATCTGACAAATTTTTACATTATACATTAATTGATTTTGTCCTAAAATTAGATTGTGATAATCATGTGATAAGCAAGCAATCCAAAAATTATGTGCATTAGACATTGTAAATGAACTTTAACTACAATGTGATAAACAAGCATTATGGGATTTTTTTTTTACATTATACATTTATCGATTTTGTCCTAACTACATTGTGATAATTAATCATGTGATAAACAAGCAATTTGGCAATTGCATACATTATATATTAATCGATTTTGCCTTAACTACATTTGTGACAATCGACTTTTGAGTTGTGATAGTTTGCTTATTCAATTTCTCGACCATGCCCTTAACTGTGATAAGTCTGTGATTGRCATTCTCTCATCGAATCTCTAATAGATTGAAGCTCTAATTGATTACAGACATCTATCGAATCCTAATCGAAGTGTCATAATATGTGATCAAGCTATGTTATTAGACACATACCTTTAACCTTCTTCCTCGATACCTCGAGATAGACTGTACGATCTTCTTCCTCAACGTCTTCGAACAAGAGTATATGCTTGCCCTAATAGGAATGTAAGCTATCATTGTGTTGTTTGTGATAACCCAAGGTCGACGATGATCATCATCACTACCCAGATGATCATAATACTCTACATTGTGTTATTTGAATTTTTTGGATATCAATTTCCAATTTTACCTTTCCACGTCTTCAGAATATTTGAAATTATTTTACTACGTATTTAAGTTTGAAAAATACTTTAACTTCTCTTAGAATATGATTTTAAACACAATTTTTAGCTTAAAAGTTGTTCTCGTATTCTCGTAAATCATAGAGGTTCTTGTTTGTGAACGTTTATATCATAAATAGCATGAATATAAACATTAGACTTTTGTATGTATCTCATGAAACTCACCTTCATAGGCTTCCTCTTCTATGAACCCTTGGAGTTATCCTGTAATATTTATTAAACAATATGTCTTCAATATTGTTAAATTTGCATTTATTTTATAACCTCTATTCATTAGTCCAAGTCCCAATTTGAATTTATTCATCATCAAATCCATAATTTACCTCCATATCATATCATAAGGATTTCAAAATATTCCAATATTCCAAAAGTTTTGACCCTGAGGGTTATTTTCCATTACTTTTCAATTATAATATATAATATATAGTTGGTGTTTTATAAAACACTTGATTTCATAGAAAACTTTATCAAATAATGTCCTATAAAATAATTAATACAATATTTTTTTATCAAAATTACTAAAAACTTGTTACGACGTTTAAAAATGTCTTATAAGTTTATTATATTTCCTTTAAATATGACATTTTATTTTATGATACTATAAATTAAGTTTTATAAAATAATCTACTAAAATACATAAATTTATTTTTTGACGTCCTATATATCAATTTTATTATATCATTTATAGAAAAGYCATCTTATATTTTCTGATAATGTTTGTCTTTAAATTGGTAGACTTGTACCTACATGTCACTCGTGACCTAGAATTGGCCATGTCAATGACAACAAAATCGTCTACAACATGCTAAACATATGGTTTTTAAAAGTATTTATYTTATATTTTCATTTTAGTAATAAATYCATCTTTATTTTCGATTTCTTCTATTTCCTTATCACCTTATATCTATGTTGGCAATACGAGATTATTAAAAAAATTATGAAATTATGGAATATGAAATCACTGATTTAACATATCGTTATATTTTATTTTAGATTAAATTMTGATRTTGATGAAATCATATTGTAGTAGTTACAACAATTAGTTGTATATTAGAAAGTTATTTATTCATCTGTAAATTGGAGCCTTTTTCAACTGAATTATTGATATTTTTGTTACAATTATATTTATAGTAGATTGTTCTCTGATTACTTTATTTAACATTCGGTTCGAATTGGAGTCRTATGATATACAAATTAACATACAGTGATGCTCATTTGACAAAAAGAAAAATCAGATTAAGTAATGAGCACACTTCACTAGTCATTTGAATTAAAAAACAAAGAACATGAGAACCTTTTTCTAAGATGTGATTCAATATTTTGTAGTTTTGTTGTGGTCAAATTTTATTCTTTACATGGACACCTACCTACTATCTCTCTAACCATTTAATATGTACATATCACTATTAGAAGAAAGATGACTTTCACCGGAACAAATAATCAGTTGATCACTACTGAAAGATTTCCGATAAACTTGTGAAAACTCTTAAAATTTAAAATAAATAATGAAAATTTGACAAATTAGAGAGAGACTAGATATGATGGATGATATGTCACTGATCTGTCGATGATTACTAATGGGTATGCTATAGATTAATGACGGATACAAATCCATAGGAACTAGTTTCAACTATTAACTTCTGAATTCATTTAAATGATTACTGACAGCTTGTTTCGTAAATAAAACATATTATTCTGATAATATATTATTTCAAAAATATTTAAATATTACTATAAGTATGTAATTGTGCGAAAATTACATTTACTTTAAGCAACTTGAAATCTTATGACAATTAAAATAATTTTACAAAAACCAAGCATTGTGATTTTCCCAGCAAAAAATAGAATAATTTTTACTATATCATGTAATAATTACAACATTTTTGACGCTGGTTCACTAAATATACTTTTCGTTATGTTGTCGTTTTCGAGTTAACATTGACAATTTATTTAACTGTCAACATTTTATATATATGTTAATTTAGTCATAATTTTCTCAATTAAATATTTTTAGAGAATCGTGATTTTTTTTATTATACATATATGACTTAGGACATGTGACACCATTTATTTTTCGTAAGACCTGTGAGATCACGTTTTTATATCCTGAGTTTATAGTGTTGTTTCATCTATGAATTTTAATTGTTTCGGTTTCTATAACTTTTATTAAGGTTTCTAACTTTTAGATCGTTTCAATCTAATTTGGGGTTATATATATAGACATGTATGTAGAGGAACGATCAAATAAAAATCACTCCAATTTGTAAACCGTGCAAACCACCATCATCCATCGATTTCATTGTTTAATCTTATGAAAAAATTTCATAAAATTGTTTAATCTTGTGAAATTGTTTCATATAATACTTTTTTGATGAATTTGTTTCATATATGGTTATGAAATTGTTTCATATATTACTTAATGAAATTTTAATGAAACTGTTTCATGTATTTATTTAAAATTAAAATAATGAAGATGATAATATCCATGATTAACACACTTCACAATAAAAATTATTAATCGACCTCTCATAATTACAAAAAAATGAAAAAAAATGAAAATTTATGATTGATTGAATGAGATTTTTACGGTTTTTACAAATTGAGTGGTTTTCATTTGATC